AAATAAAAAAGAAAGCTTTTGTAACATTTTAAATGAACTTTTTTCTTATTTTTGCACTGCTTCCTTTTTTCTTTCTCCCTCCCCTCTCTCCTTTTTTTTGTTTGTACTTGGAGCTTCTAAGTTTCATTTCTTTTTAAAATTTTTATTCTTTATTCACTCAATATAGCATGCATTTAATATCAGCCAAATGTTCGTTTACTAAAAAAAAAATCCAAAACATCCATTAAAATGATTTTTTTCTTTCTTTTCTTTCAGAAAGTTTGTTTATTTTCCTCTTTTTCTTTTATTTCATTTATTTTCTAACAAATAAAAGAAATGATGGAAATGCTTCAATTAATCATTCATTGTAAAATAATTTTAAAAAAATGAAAAATTTAACCAAAGTATTCTGTTTAAATGTTAATAGCATTTTGTCGTTTTGCCATTTTTTTTTAATTTTTTTTGAATAAAAAAAAAATGAGAAATTACTTGAAACTTTTCCAATTTTGACATATTCACTTACTATTTATTTATTTATCTATTTATTTTATTTATTTATTTTTTTTTTTTTTTTTTTTTGAGTAAAAAAATGTTCTTTAAAAATTTTTGGTGACAATTTGTGTTTTATTTTTCTTTTGAGTAGAAAAAAAAAAAAAAAAAATGATTTTGAAGAATTTTTAACTTCATTTATTTCAATCAAAAAGAAAACAGAAAAAAATGAAAGTGAAATTTACTTTAAACGTGCTATCTTTACTATTTTTATATGCTATAAACTTTTATGTTGAAACATAATTTTTATTCGTTTGTTTTGTTTTGTTTGTTATAAGTAAGTATTATCAAATGTTAGTTAAACCGTACGATGTAAACTGATCCACTCATCATCATTTACACACACTATAACATACATTTTCATTCACATTTTGCTAAACTGTTATGTAAATTGATCCCATTGATTTTGCTGAAATTTTATTTATTTCGATACTTTTTGCTGTAAATCAATTCAAAATGAAATGAAATTTGATACATTAACTTTTAGATATAATATGCTCATCATTTCTTCATTGAAGTCTGTAATAGGTAGTAATATTAATGCATTTTTTTTTTCTCTATGTTTTTTGTGTGTATATATAGATACGTACGTACGTGCGTGCAAGTATGCATGCAGCTAAGTGCGTTGATACGTCAACGTACATATGTGGAGGATGTGAGTGTGCGGGTAGGAGTTTTATAAGGTTGTATGTACGTGTACGTGTAGGCGTGCGTGCACAGTTGTGTGGAGGTGTGCTTTCGTTGCTACTAGTTGATCTTTCCAAAATTCTTACTTTATGTTGCTGTCAATAACTTTCGACAATTATAGGTGTTTATCTATGTATGTGTATGTGTCATCTACCGACAATATAGACATAAAGACAGATAAATACATTATGTAAATGTATTATAATGGCATATTGTCACAAAAGTGATTTTTGTAAACAGTTCCAAATGCATTTCTAAATAATGCTACGAAATGTTCTTGCTATTTGCGCCACTGTAACAGATGTGACACGCCATCGACACTGAAACACTGTCATCCCCTGTACTCGTCGCATTCTACTCGTCCTCCTACCGCCTCTACGCTTTCTACTTCTTGTCACAGTCATCACCGCGTCTCTTCCGTGCTCTTTCATCTTCTTCACTCTAATACTACTATTACTATTATTACTTTTGTTAAATAATATTCATAACGCATGTAGGTTATATAGTTAAGCATGCTTAAGCGAGAAGAATAGGACAAATAGTTTGGTGTTATTGCGGTGAATGAATCAGTTTTCCGAATTATTTCCGGATTATATGTATCGAAGATGGCGAGGCTGATGCACTTTACACTGTGCGTGATAGGGACAAATAAATAGATTAATTATCTCAAATGATTGTGCTACTATATATCGCATTTAATAGGAAGAGGAAATAACACAAATATTTATCTCTCTATTTGAACCTATAAATTTGTTAAATTGAATCCATTGAGTATTCTTGGAATAATGGATTGATATATAATTGAGCCTAATGTAATTTTACATTTACATCATTTGATTGATATAAAATAGAAAGTTCAAAGATTTTTGTTTGCTTAACATTTAAAAATTAAAAAATTTCCGTCTTTCCTTTTTTTTTTTTGTAAATATAATAGTATGAAATTTGAAATATTTTGAAACCTTTTAAAATTTTCACCCGAAACAAATAGACAAATAAAATAAACATTCTTTTTTTTAGTCTTAAGATATAAAAAGAGCAGTAGAAAGAGAAAAAGAAGAATGGAAGGAAAATCTTACAAATGTTTGATCAATTTAGATATAAAAATTCGAAAAATCAATTAGGAATGGGAAAAACAATGGGTAAAATTAAGTGCGGAACCAGTGAAAAATCTAAATATTCTTTTATTTTCTTGAAATTTCTCGAAATTAAATAAATAAGGTAAACAAATATATAAATAAGCAAATATATACATATATATGCTTATTTATACATACGTAAAGACTATTTTTGTAAACATTTCATTAATTTTTATCTTCATTTTCTATTTAGGTTTTTGAATTTTTGCTTTTCTAAATTTTAATTTTCATTATTCAGAAGTATTTGTGTAAATTTCATAATTTTATAGTTTAATACACTCCGATATTAATTTCTATAATTTCAAACGTTTCACAAATATTAGCAGTTCCTACATTTACAAATACCATTTTGTTGAAATATTTCGCAATTTCAAAATGAAAATTCATGACAGTCGTCGCATTTCAATGTGTTTACCATTCATTTCCTTTCTGTCCTTCCTGTCTTCCTTCTTTGTCCCAACTCCTCAACGTGATCTCTCTCTCTCTCTCCCTCTCTTTTCCCTTTTCTTTTACTTTGTGTTCCTTAAGTTAAGTAGGAAGGATTTCTCTCTCGTTTACATAGTTTCAATCTTAATTTATCATCGTCATTATTATTAACTCACTAAAATTACCATTCATTCATTCATTCACCTATTCATTTATTTCTCTCACTCTGTCTCCCTCTCCTTCTCTTTCTCTTTTTCTCACTCCCTTCTATTTTTGAGATTAAATGTTGCGTTTCTTTTAGCATTGTACTGAAAAAATTTCTTTGAAGTATTTCCGAAATATTTAAAAAAGAAAATAGGAAATTTTCACTGCTTTTTTTGAAAAATTTTTTCATAGCAGTTAATAGTTTGTTATATCATCTCTTTCCTGTTTTTTTTTTTTCGCTTTTTCAGAAATTTGTCTAAATTTCTTCTTGTTAAATGGATTATTTAAAATTTTTATTTTTAAGCGAACAAGTTAAATTATTAATTATTATTATCAATATTATGTTTATTTTTATTAATACTATATTAGCACTCTGTTTTTCAATTAAAAAAGGCCGAAATGTTGAATTAATTTGGAATTTCATATGAGCTATAACGCTTAAAAGGATGTTAATATCTTTGAGTATAATAATAAATTATCCATGAAGAAAGCAAAAAAAAAAAAAAAAGGAAAAAAGAAAAACGATTTCCATTTTCTCTTTTGCTCCTTTCAAATCTCATATTGTCCATTTTTCTTTTTTCCTTTTAACAATTTAACTAACTAAATAAGGAATAAATGAATGGGTGACAAAGATAGTAAGATAAGAAGTAATTCAATAACGAGAAAAAAAAGAAAAGAGAGAGAGAGTGCAGGAGAGAGAGATATCATCGATTAAATTAGAAAAAAAGAGAAAATGATGAAAGCAATGAATGCTTGACCATTAGAGAGCAAATAAAATAAAGTAATCATTTAATACAAGACAAATAAAATGTTTACTTTAGTTTAAATATAAATGTCTGTTTACTTTTATTCCTTTCCTATCAACCAATTTTTTTTCGGACATTTTTCTTCGTCAAATTGACCATATATAATAATATATCATATAATATATTATAATAATATATATATTATCTGTTACTAAATCACTTTGTTAACATGAATGATTATCTGCTGGTATAACTGCTTTGTTCTTCTATATGTTTGGTAAATAATATTGAAATGACCATCATTATTCCATAATCAAATGCTATTGACCATTCGGTAGAGAAAGAGTGGGAGAGAGAGGAAGAGAGAGAAATGAAATTAACCACTTCTTTTAGTTGATTAATTAGAGATATAATTTGTTTGCTACTTTATATATGTACAGCTTTTTGCAAATATTATTCAAATGACCATCATTATGTTAGTAAACAACTCATAACACTGACCATTCATTCTGCTAACTGGGGACTGTTTTTTCTTCCTTTTTGATTCATTAATTACGGGTAAGAAAAAAAATAAATAAATATATATATATATATATATATATTGTTTACTAAAATACAAAATGAAATACGTAAACAAATCAGATTCATTTTTTTTAATAGAAAAGAAAAGAAAAAAGGAAGGAGAAGCATAACATATTATTGTTGGTCCATTTTAATTCATTTCATTTATTCGTGTACTTTATTAAATAGTTGTTTGTGCATTTTATAACTAACTTAAATATTGCATTTAAAAGGAATAAATGATGAAAGGATGAGAAAAATGAAAGAAAAATGGAAATAGTATAAATTTATTATTATTTTAAACTAAAAACATTTCTTATTTGGTCGTTTTTTTCTTTTTTTTTTCTTTTTTTTTTCTACAAATATGCAAATGTATCAAATATTCGAACTGATGTTAATATTATTACTATAATCATTTGTTAGATAATATTTCTTTTTTATTTACATTAAATTTGCCTTTTTTTATTTCACTTTCCTATCATTTTCCCCGCTCTCGTCTTGCTTGTTTCCCCAACTTCTTTTATCGTTCCTTTTGTGTTTTATTTTGCAAAAGTATAGTGTTGATTCAGCGATATTTGCTGTATTTGATGAAAGAGTAAAATAAGCGAAAGCAATAGGATTTTTGAAATGTGAAAAAAAAAAAAAAAAAAAACTGAAATGAAATGAAATAGGTTATTGTTATTGCGGGAAATGTAATCTAAATAGCATTTAGATGAATCATTTTCAATCGCTATTGTCCGTTCCAACTCTAACAATTGAATCGGCAATCTGCCCTATCAATTTGCCACCACCAACATTATCATCACAACAACAACAGCAACAACAACAACAGCAACAACAACAACAACAACAACAACAGCAACAACAACAACAACAACAGGCGGCACAGCAACAACATCAGTCGGTCATAATGAATTCATCAGGAGCAGTTGGCGAGCCTTCATCCTCTTCGTTTCCATCCGTTGCTGATCTCCATGGTGTCACAGAATGTTGTGAATCAAGTATGTTGTTCTTTTTTTTTTTTTTTGTCTCAAGCTTTAAATTAAAAAATTTTTTTTAACTCTCTTAAAAATTTACAAATTTTAAAATCATCCTATATTGAAGAAAAATAATTCTTTTTGCTATATTGTTTACATATCAAATACGATTTACTTATGTAGTATGAAATATTACGATTGATTAAATTATTCATAAATGAGCAATATGTAAAATAAGTAAATACAATAAACAAATAATAGAGTAAGTTTAATGAACTATAATACAGTAGCCGAAATGAATTGTACATTGTACGACTTGATTAAAACAGAACTACTTGATAGCTCAAAATTATCAGCATTTTTAAATTTTGATAATTTTTGTACAAGCTATTGCCATATCTTTGATAAACATCAAAGCCATTATTATCGTAATTAAATTTTTTTATTTGAAATTTTAATTACCTTAAAAGGTTATATTTTGTGATAGGTTCACCTAACATACCTTTGAATGCAAAAAGGTCGATTGATGAAGATCATCGTGGTGAAATAAATGAGTATGATGTACAGAAACGGATCAAAAGACCGATGAATGCTTTCATGGTTTCTTCTTTCAAATAATCATTTCTTATAAAAAATTTTGCATGTAATTTTTAACATAATGATAAAAGCCCATCACTTATTGTAATAAATTTCACGTAAATATAAATGTGTCTGAAAGTTATTTTTTGTCTTTTCGAGGATTGCAAAAAACATGAAAAATGAAAATAAAATATAAACAAATAAAAATAATAGTTAAGATGCTAGTGAGTATAAATAATTATGAATAGATAAATGTACTGAATATATAATTAATTTGTTAATTTTTACAAACTATTTCTTGAATAATATTAAATTTTGTACATTATATTTGAATAGTTTAAATCATCATTTAGCAATAGTGATGATAATAATAATAATAGTAATAATAATAATAATAATAATAATAACAATAATAACTATAATAATAATAATTGTAATAATAATCAGTAATTAATGATAATAATAATAATGAAATAATTGTAACTTTTTAATGAATCATTCCGACAGGCATTTAAAATTTAAATTTTTGACATACTTTTTTTTAAAGGTATGGTCTCAAATGCGTCGAGCACAAATTGCTAGCACAGATGTAAAAATGCATAATTCACAGATTAGCAAAGAATTGGGTGCTGAATGGAGGGAAATGAGCGCTGAAGAAAAAGCACCATATGTTAAACGGGTTTGTTCTCTTTCTTCTTTTGTTGTTTAATATTTAATAAAAAAAAAATTGAAATAGCTGGAGAAGAAATGAAAAAAGAGAAATTTCATCAGCTAATTTTATTTTTCTTTTTTGAATTCAAATCCTTCTTTCTCTCAAAAATTTAATTTATTTTGAATAAAAAAGAAGAAATAATTTAAAATTTTTCTTCAAGTTCTTTTTTCTCAAAAATTATTTTTATTTGTTTATTTCTTCATTTATTGTTTTACTATTGTTTACTATTATTATTTATTGTTTGCTATTGTTTATTATTATTTATTTACTTTTTTGTTTATTTACTTGTGTATTTATATATTTGCTTATTTGTTTATTTATTTACTTATTGTCTATCATTTATTATTGTTAACCATTAGTTAATATTAGTACTAATTATTAATTACCAATTACTGTTTATTACTCACTGTTAATGGAAGCAACCGTTCATTTATTTCTTTTTTCTTTGTTATTTTTTTTACCTTTCGTTTATATATTTTATTTATCTTTTTTGTTAGGCTAAAGAATTACGGGAAGAATTAATGCGTCGTCATCCAAATTATGTTTATCGTCCAAAACGTCGTTCACATGGTGCGACAAAGAATTTGTTGACCAAAACATGTGCAATGATACTTCCGACAACAACAACAGCAGCAGCAACAACTGGTCCGTCAATGCTACCATCGTCATTTGAACAAAGGTACCATTTCATTTTGCACTTTTTTTTTCATGCAATTTGTTTTTAAATATTTCCTATGCATTAATGTTATGAAATAATTATGTTATCAAAATTTGGTATCAGATGTTTTATCATTATCTGATTATTGTTTTTGGCCGTCTACTTTGTAAAATTTCATTTCAAAAAATTAATAAAAAAAAAGAATTATTAAAATTAATGAAAACTTTTGTACGTACTTTGCTGTTATTGTTGTTGTTTCATTTTGATCGGAATTCTTTACCATTTCCATTACTGCAACTCTTGCTTTTCATGTTTTCTTTTTTTCTCTTTTTTGATAATTTGTTTGATTGATGTAATAAAAAAGAAGAGAAATGCAATTTGTTACAATGTGCTTAATTAAAGTTAATTGATACAATACTAGTTGCATTTCGCAAATTATCATCCATTTTAATCAATTTTGAAGTAGGTCAAATCAGCGAGATGGGATTGATTATGAAAGCTTCTAACTCATTCATTATTAATTAGTAAAAAGTCCAGGTTAATCAGTCTGTTCTTTTATATATAGTTGTTGTTTTCTCTAGACAATTCTTCGATGTCGATTTCTAATAGATTTATTTGAATTTTAATAACATTCTCTTCCATCTCCTTCTGTTCTTATAATTTGCTTTTTTTTTTGTTATATCGCTTCTTTTGCTTGGAAACCTTTATTAAATAATTTTTTGATTATGAAAAGTTTTCGGAAATATTTTCGTATCATTTGATGAAATGTTACTTTTGTCATTTCATTTACCGCATATGCGATATAAATAATTATTGAATTAGGTGTAATAATATAATCTTTACAAATGTAAATTTCGATCAACTAAAATATAGTTTAAGTATTAATCAACTTAATTAAATTATTAATATTTTTATTGTTACTATTTCAAATGTAATGTTTTTTTTATTAATCTTCGCATAATTTGTCATTATATTATCGTTACTGTTGCCTGTTTCATCTTCTTTTTTTAAGAGAAGTATGATTTACTATTTTGCAGATCGCATTCGTTATCATCAATTCCAACAGCTCATGATATTAGACGATTTTTTATAGCTCGGGTAATGCAGGAACAGCAAAACAATATGTTATTAGCTGCATATCGTAATCATTTACTTGCAGCTGCTACAAATACCACCGCTGCTGCACCTTTAAAAGATTCTGCTACTTTGGATTGTGTTGATCAAGAGGTTAATATGAAATTCACCTTTTTTTCTTTTTTCACTTTTTTTAGTTTGTATTTCAGTTTTTGCTCCTTTTTCTAAAGCTCACAACTGAATTTATATGTTTTTTCTTTTAAATTTAAAATGAATTAATTACAGATCACTTTGATATTTTCTGTCTAATACTTATTATCATAACTGTCAATTTCTTTCTTTAATAAATTACCATTACCAAGAAATTTTTTCAAAATATTTGTTGAAAGAAAATTGATAACAATTATATATTTATATTTTTTTTGTGATTATATATTTGTTAAACAAATTAATACATTGATCGCTTATTAGCAACTTTTTTTCTCTCTTTTTACACAAATATTTTAATTAGTTTAAGGTTTTGTTAAATTTTAGTGCAAATTTTTCATTCATTGCAGAAATTACAATCAGCAATGGGAAATATTACAACGGGTAATAGTACTGCTAGTAGTGGCATATCAATGACAACCGAACAATTTAATCCGATTTCATCGTTGTCCATGTTACAGTCACCATACAATCCGATTAGTCCATTACTTGGTTCACAGTTTAATCCATTTTTATTTAGTTAATTAATTTCTTCCTTAATTAACAGGGTATTTTTCTAACCTCTCCATTAATTGTAAAATAAAAAACGACGGTAAAAAGGAAGAAAAAGAAAAGGAAAAGCTAAGGAAGTTTTATTATATTGTTTAGGGTCAAGTGTATTTATTGTTGTATGTATATTCTCATTGTATGTTCTATTTTTGTTTATTTGTTTGTTTACATTCTGAATTTTGCTTTCTTTTTTTCTCTCTTACATTGTAGTGAATAAAAGGCTAGCATTTAATTAATAATATTAGCCTATTAAGCATATATTATTATTTTTATGAATTATTCAAAATGAAATAATTCATATTACATTGTTATTTTTTAATTCTGTATTAATTTTTTTTTTTTGACAAATATGAATAATACTTATAGGATTAAATATTAATAGCAATAATTGTAACAGTAAATGATTATGATGTATAATAGACATACGTTATATATGTATGTACAATATATGTCGTGCACGTATATAAAAGGAAAAATACACTTGACCATTAGCTTTTTGTATTTTTTTCTCCTTTATGTTTATTAAAATATTTTGCATTATTATTGTGACGTATTTTGCTTCATATTAGAAATTGAATTCATATTATTTCGGATTCTTAAATGATAGCATATGAAAAAATTATAATTAAAATTTGCATTTAAATTTGCAGATAATAAAGAATTTTGTTTCAACAAATTTTTCTTAAATTTAGAGGAATATTATAGTTTATATTGTAATGGATAGTTTATTTGTTTGATGCTGTAGGAATAGTCTATAGTTGATATGTAGGGAGAGGGAAAAGTATAAAGAAGAATTTCTTTTTAATTTTACTACCAATGATAAGTTTTTTTTTTTGCACTTTCCGTAATATGTAGATAGTATGAAGTTTATATTTGATACTATAGGATTGATAAAACTAACTGAAGATTATATCTGATACTGTAAAAGTATTTTTTTAACGGGTAATTATAAGGTGAAACATTAATTTTGATGACTGAATTAATTGCTAACATTTTGAAAATCGTAACAAAAGATGAAACGATCGTATTTCTCGCTTGAAAACATTGTTTCACCAAAACCTTTGATATTTTTAATACAATTTTTGCTTCTTTGCTTTTTTTTTTTTTTTTTTTTGATATTTCTTTGTGCAAAAGTGATTATGTTGTTAAGGATTTTTGCTGATTATTTATCAAATATAAAAATAATATGAATTTATCGCTTCCGCACTTCAGCATTCATTAATATTGGTTTGACTAGATTCAACAAGTTTACTATTCTATTTAGTTCTGTTTATTTCACATGCTTTGTTATTTTTGAACTTCTTAGCGCTAAGGAAAGTTGAAACGATTAATCCAAGTAAGTTATATAAAAAAGAAATATTATTGTAATTAATTTATTAAATTTTATATTTTAAGTTTATTTAACTCTTTATTGCTTTAGGACGATAATTTTTGTATCAGAGGCATTTAGTCGTATATGATTTTTGCCACCACAATAAGCAATCATTCCATCTGTGATGATCACCTAGAAATTTTTGTCAATTATTTTGTATAATTCATTGGTGTTATTTCAGTGGCTGGTGTTTAATAATTTCTATTTAGTGAGAAAAATTGGTTGAAGACATGATTGATTTAAAATATTATCGGGAGATTCATTTATGTTAGCATGAAAGAGTGCCAATTAAAGTATGGATTTTATTTACTTGATAATTTAATTGATATGATTTATTAAAATCAATTCTTTATCTATTTTCTAACTAATGTTAGCATTTTTTACCTCACCTGTATGACATCCCGAAATTGTTGTTTCACATTGGCACAATGTAGGACAATAATACGCGATTTTGGAATTTCGAATTCTGCATTCGAAATCGTCAAATATCTTTTCTGGTTTTCTTTATTAGTTATTTGACAACCTTCGCCAACATATAATTGTACTTTTTTACCCTTAATATATTAATACTAGTCATTGAATATGCTGACAAGAAAATCGTTTATGCGGTATTTTGATAAGAGCTAGCGTCAAATTTTGTTAGCATGATTTTGATATTTAGTAATAATGCAATGGAAATCGACTTTGATACTAGCGTAATTCTGACATTGCTCATTGATGATATCTAGTGATATGTGATAAAATTATCACCAAATCACTTCGAAGAGATAAAACAAAGTTAGGAGTAGCAGTACAATATTGACAATGATGATCTAATCGGGTAAATCAGTTTTGAACTATTGTGATTACGATTCATCCGTGTTTAAGAGCTTTCGATTACTTCTTTCTACGAATATTTTTGCTTAAATATTGTTGATTAATTTAAAAATTTTAAGATTCAAGCTTGAATTTTAAATTTAAACTTTTTGTCGGATAATTACATCGATAATAATGTTTATATTGATAGGAATGTAAATGGGTAAGGAAGATTGTGCGATAATTGATGTTTGATGATTAAATGTAATAAAGAGCATTGGTACCACTTCTCGAATTACCTTAAATTAGTTAAAAATATTCCTGAAATTTTTACTCAAATCAAAATATTTTCATATTTAATTTAAAATAAAAAATTTACAAGAAGGAATAAATTTCAGAGTACTAAAATAGCATGCATATATATATGCATATTGGGAAGCATTTAAATGGATAAGAAATAATACTCGCATATAATATCATTAAGTAGTAACCTGAAATGCATAATAATCAGTTTTCTTCTCTCTTTTCCCGTAATACCATATTGATATGGGTCCTTCTGATATAATTTCATATGAACTCTCACTTGGAACAACCGGGCATTTTAGCAGTTGCAGATTTTGGTTCATTTTGGAAAACATTCTATAAAGTTAAATTCGGAGGAAATTTATTCGCAGTTGTCGGTTACTCAAGTAGTTTTAGGATTAGTTTTAAATTATCGTTTATTATTATTATTATTAAATTATTTACTAAAATGCTCGAAGTATAATTATTAGTTATTTAATATGTTATTAGTCCTGCATTACGCATTATAATCAGTTTTTTGATAATTAACAGCTATTTCTATCAGTTATTAGTTTTATTGCGTTATTATCAATTTTATTGATAGGGAAGTATCAATCGTTACTCGTCATTACAAACATGTGTAAATCTAAATCCGTTGACAATTATCAACTTAATGAGGTCATTATCATAGTAAGCCAATAATTATATCAGTCATCAAATTTAGAACCATTCAGTAACTACTTATATTATCTATGGAAATGAGATCAAAAACCTCAATATACTTAAAAATGCTCAAAATATTGCTCCAAATACCTTGATGATATCAGTTGACCGATAAGCTTCTTTGCAATAATTAAAAATGAAAAAAACAAAACACCGTGTGGAATTTTTTTTTTTTTTAAAAAAGTATAACAAATATAGTATGATTTAATGTAATGTAGTACAATTTAATAAAATATTTTAATGCAAATCTTACTACAAATACTACAAGTAATATGTATGAAATACTACGTAAGGGGTGTTACTTTATGTACAGGATGCATTATATGGGCGTTGTACAGTATACTACGATGCAATCCCATCAATTATACTACTGTAACGGTTATATAACTTTAATCGAAGTACGAAATGTTATGAACAATACAGTATGCTTAAGTGTAATGTATGACCGTATACATAGATGCAAAACCCTTTTAGCTGAAGCGTCGTTTTATAGCTGTCCTTCATACCATCTTCTGAAAGTTTATGGCCAAATTAAAAATTGATTTTCTTTTTTTTTTTTAAGTTCAGTTATATTTTTTTTAGGTAAATATTCAAATAAACAAGTGTTTTCAAGAAATTTTTTAAAAAAAAAGCGCTGAAAAGAATATTACTGAATTTATGATTTGAAGATCAATAAAAGAAACTGGAAAAAGATGGAGATATTACAATTAAAATTAATGTTAAAAATTTTGAAAAAAAAATTGTAATTTAGACTTAAAATCAAAGCAGAATGAAAAGTTGTAACAAATGATTGGTTAATTTAAAAAAAGAAAAAAATACTACGACCTTTAGTATTTCATTTTTAAACTTCGAAATTTCTTCTTATTGAAGAAAAAAATGAAATAGGATTTTCACTTTTATTATACAGAATGAAATATTTTGTGCAAAACGCTAACTGCATGATAAATAGCACGAATTTCTGTTGCATTATGCAAGCAGGCGGAAAGATTTTGAGAAATGCAAACATTACAACCATTTAATTTTAAAACGTGGATTTTAAACTTTTTGAATTCCACATTTAAAACTTAAAAAATTTTTAACTAAAATAGCAGGACATATTTGATAGATGTTTGGACATAAAATGAAACAAGAAAAATAAAACATTACAACAGCTTAAAAAACTATTTATATGCAATGTAAAACTGAAACATAAACGAAGTATAAATGAATAAATAATTATGAAAAAACAAATTTCATTTTTCTTCGGCTTTAAATTATTATAGCTTCTATTTAAAAAACGAAAAAGGTAAACAATTAGATAGAACTAAAATTAAATAATGCATTTAAAATCTTAGTTAAAATTTTCAAAACATATGAAATTTTTAAATTTTAATAATACTAAGTGAAAAATAATGTAAAACAAAAAATTATAAGAAAAAATGTAATACAAAATTAGAAATTTAAGCACAAATATTTAGCAAAAATGAAGCAAATGAAAATATTTGTGTTAATATCATCGGATAATGTGTTATAAATAATTAACTATGTTTATTTTACGATAATTATTACCTAACCAATGTTTTTTGCCGCATTTTTTTCTACCATTTTTATTGGAATTTTGTTGAATGCAAATATTCTGAAATGAAAATGAAATAAACAGAAAGAAGAAAAAATTTCTTATATTTTATTTACTTATTTTTCAATTTTAATACGTTCAAAATTAATTTGGTTTTTCCTGAAAAAAGGAAAAGGAAATTGCAAAATTTTGAGCAAAAAAAAAATACAGAAATAATAATAAAATATCAAATTTTTCGGCATATGTCG